GGGCGCGGTGGCTCACGCCTGTAATCCTAGCACTCTGGGAGGCCGAGGCAGGTGGATTGCTCGAGGTCAGGAGTTCGAAACCAGCCTGAGCAAGAGCGAGACCCCGTCTCTACTATAGATAGAAAGAAATTAATTGGCCAACTAATATATATAAAAAAATTAGCCGGGCATGGTGGCGCATGCCTGTAGTCCCAGCTACTCGGGAGGCTGAGGTGGAAGGATCACTTGAGCCCAGGAGTTTGAGGTTGCTGTGAGCTAGGCTGATGCCATGGCACTGACTCTAGCCTGGGCGACAAAGCGAGACTCTGTCTCAAAAAAAAAATACTCCAGAAAAAAGTAATGGGGGGAATGAACAAAGGGGGACTGGCCACGACTGGACTTCCGCTGAAGCAGGGTGACGGGGACATGGACCTCCCTATACCATTCTCTGTACTTTTGTGTAAGTTTTGAAAATTTTCCTGCTGAGAAGACCATAACAAAAAATTAAAACCAAAAACTCTCCCTTCTTTTTAACCTCTGTAATCTCCCTCTCTTTAATCTCCACTCAACCGTTCTAAGTTCCTGACCCCAACCTGGCCTCATCCCCACCCCTCCAAATTCTATTCGTACTTTCCTCATGGGGATACAGCCTAGGGTCGGGGGTGTCAGGCGTGGGGAGCCCATCTCTGGGGAGGCCTCTGCTCTCTGCTGCCCTCCCTACTCTTTCTCAATCAGAACTCTCGCCCCGGTTTTCCGGAATCTGAGGTAGCAGTTTTATCCCTACCACAGCCTTTCCCATCTCCCAGTTGGTTGGGTCCCCATCTGCCTCCGACACTGAGTCTTTTATTCGGGTTGTCTTGTCCTTATCTGTCACCTCCCCCCTCCGGAGCCGGAGCACAATCAATGTTTGTTCAACTGAACTGGCCCCTTCTGCAACTTGAATATGCCCACTGCCGGGTCTCCTCTCCAGGGCAAAGAATCTTCTCCACAGGCCAAGAATTTCATAGACAAAGGAGAAAAGGCATTCAGTTCCACGGACATTTACAGAAGGTCGGCGGGGGGTGGGGGGAATGACAGCTGGGCACACAGCCACCTCCAACACGGGCCAACTGCACTGTGATGCAGTGAGGTGGGAGGCCACCACCTTCACAGTCACCTGCAGGGGGCCGGGAGGACAGGGGAGGGGATCACAGAGGAGACCCTGGCTTCTCCTGTCATCACCCCTCTGCTCATCCTTCCTTGCCAGCCTCCTGCAGCTGCAGAATCTTTGATCACCCAACCATCACCATCCTTTCGGACACAAAGTCGGGCAATTGGGAGCTGTGAGCACCTGCCTCGGAGAAGGGACAGGCTGCTGCCTTTCCTGACGCTCCAGCTTCCATGGGAACTGTCATTCAGGGAGATGTCATACACTCACCCTCCCCTCCCAAACAGCCTGGGATGGCGTTTGAACGGAGCACAGAAGCTGGCCTTTGATTCGCAGTCTGGCGAATTAAAAATCCTCCACTGCCCATATAGAGCCTTCCCTCCCTCTAGCACGAGTGACACCTTCCACTTCCCAAACCCCGTCCTGCCATCATTAGCCTGGCCCTCGACACCACTGCTTAAATGCCAGCTGCAGGCGTGGGGAAGAGTTAGGAAGGGCCTCTGGCTGCACCCACTGGCCTCCGTGGGCTGCCCTCGGCGTTAGGTTGCAATGCCAAAGGGGAACGGGAGTTTAGCTGGTCAGGTGGCGGAGAAAGGCCAGAGCCTTCCCTGATTTCCCTGAAAGGCTTTGGGGAGCATTTCTCAACTCTCTTTGTACAGAAAAAGGTCTGTTCGCGCAATGTCTAAACGAGAAGCAGTTACCAATGACTGGACACAAACACAGAGACGGCCATGTCACTGCTGTGAGGAAAACCACTTGTGGCTCTGAGCCCAGGCTGGCGGCCGACTAGCTGGGTGACTGCAGACAAGTCCTGCCCTGTAAACTGCTGTAAAACGGTGGCGTCGGGTGGCGTCACCTCTGAGGACCCTCTGAGCATGAACAGTGTGCACAATTCTCCCTCCGTTGTCCCAGCTTCCCTGATTCAAATCAGCACCAACTCTTTACTCTTTCACTGAGTTTTATTTCCACCTTAACGCGACAGTTTGCCCTGCGTTGCTCCTCAGTCAGTGGCTTCCTTTCTTTAGGAAAGCTGGCTGCGTGAAGGCTAAGGCCTATTGACACAGACAAAGGGACCTTTAATGTTTGCAGTGTCCTAACACCAAACAAGCACACGGCGTCCTGTGCTGGGGCAGGTGAGACCGTGGAGAGGTTGTAGACAGGGCAGTCATACCGATTCTCCTGGGTAGGACACAGGAAACAGGCTTTTGCCATCTTGCATTGGTTCCAGGATGCAATTTTTCAGACCTCTGCAATCAGGTGGCATCTCCCAGTCAATGGCATGTCCTTAGTGTCAGCCTGGAGTGAAGGCGGGCACTTCGGGAGAGGTCTGAGCTGTTTCTGCCAGCCATCTGGGGCCGCCCACCTCAGACCGTCGGACATGAGATTTTCTGCTTGGTGTTCTTTTGTTTCTTTTTTTTTTTTTTTGAGACAGAGTCTCACTCTGTTGCCTGGACTAGAGTGCTGTGGCGTCAGCCTAGCTCACAGCAACCTCAAACTCCTGGGCTCAAGCGATCCTCCTGCCTCAGCCTCCCGAGTAGCTGGGACAACAGGCATGTGCCACCATACCCAGCTAATTTTTTCTACTTTTGTTAGAGACGGGGTCTGGTCTTGAACTCCTGAGCTCGAACGATCCACCTGCCTCAGCCTCCCAGAGTGCTAGGTTTACAGGTGTGAGCCACTGCGCCCAGCCAAGCTTGGTGTTCTATTGGATGACACTATGCAAATGCAGAAAGCAAACCTGCTTGAGTACAGCCAGCCTGAGGCTCCTTTCCTCAGGGGAGGACTTTTCATCCCCACCTAGCGACAAGGTTGAGACACACGTTTCCTTGCATTCCATTTCTGCACAGTGGCTTTGATTTTCACTTACCTACTCACTAAGGTGGGTACTAAGGGTATCACAGCTTTATGTGGGGGATTTCCTATTACATTCTCCATCTGGGCTTTTTTTTTTTCATTCTTAGAGGTCCACATAATAGTGATGCATCTTATAATCATGGCTGCTCATATTTGATGAAAAAATTACTGTTATAAATATTATATGTGATATTTTAAGTCATCCAGCATTCTAATAGAAAAGGAGATAAGATTTTGAAGAAGTGGTTTCATGAGATCAAACTTTCATGTCCTGTCCTAAATCACTTCCTGTCTGTGCCACTAACTGGGCATAGACTGTGCCCCCTTGAGCACCTGGGGCTGCTGACTTGCCCAGGACCCATCAGTGAACTTCCCATGACTTCTGAGATAAAGGCACAATTCTTTTCTCTCTCTTTTTTTTTTTAAGAGTCTCACTCTCACCCCTTGCTAGAGTATAGTGGCATCATCATAGCTCACAGCAACCTCAAACTCCTGGGCTCCAGCAATTCTCCTGCCTCAGCCTCCCCAGGAACTGGGACTACTGCGCCTGGCTAATTTTTCTCTTTTTAGTAGAGGCAGGGTCTTGCTCTTGCTCAGGCTGGTCTCTAACTCCTGACCTCAGGCGATTCTACCGCCCTGGCTTCCCAGAGTGCTAGGATTACAGACGTGGGAGCCACCTGACAATATCCACACCATACTTCCATTTGCTCCTCTCCCGTATTTGCAGCCTGCCATGCCCCCTCTCATCACAGAGCCCTGGCATGATGGGAGCACTTCTCTCTCCCTGGCTTGCTTAGCTGATCTCAGTTCCAGCATCACTGCATCAAGGACACCTCCCCTGACTAGATCAGACCCCTACTGCAGGCTCTTGCAGTGCTGCACGCTTCTGTTTCATAGCATGTGTGCCAGCTGCAGTTCTACACTTGTATGATTCCTGGTCAATGTTAGAATCCTCCACCGGACTGAAAACTCCATGAAGGCAGGAAAGAGGCCTGTTTTTACTCTGCATTGTATTTCCAGAGTGAGGTTGAGCGTCTGGAAGTTGGTAGGTGCCTGATCGTTACTTGTGGATGGATAGATGGGTCTGGGCATAACCTGCCTCCTCCACAAGCAGAGAGTAAACTCCTGGAGCCAGGGCCGTCAGCAGAGGCAGAAGGAGCAACAGACTTGTCATCAGAAGGCCTCCATTTCTGCCACTAATGATGTGACCCTGGGCAAACCACACCCTCTGTTTCCTCATCTCTAAATTGCAAATAACACTTACCCAGCCTCTTCAGCAGGGATGTTTTGTGAAGCCATGAAGGCACTTTGCAACCACACAATCTGTCCCCCCTCCACCCCCAAGCTTCTAGCACAGCACGGGGCTCATACTCCCTGCTCTGTCACGTGAGCCGGTTGGCTGGCCCCTCCTCCAGAGGAAGGGAGATGAGATCTTAGAATCCTCAGGAGGGGTGCTCAAAGCTTCGGGTCATAAAGAGACCACGAAGCCTTATGCTTCCCAATCTTTATGTCAAAAACCCTCATGGAATTTCTCAGACCTTCAGGGCCCAATGGCCTAGGGACAAAAGAAAAGGAACCTCCTGTTGAGTACCTTTCGGTTTTCATTCTCACCCAAAGTTAGGGTCCTTAGCGAGAAGGGGGAAGGGTAGAGAATGGGGGATGCTGCTCCTGCCCCGCTGCTCTGCAGGCTGGTCTTCAGACAGGGCTGGGGCTGGGTAGGAACAGTGACAGTGCCTTCTGGGACACTGTTCCTGGGCCAGTCATCTGCAGGTGCATGCACTGCACCTATATCTAGCAGAACACGTGAAGTTGCTTGCTTTGCCTCTGGGATCTGAACCTTAATATTAAGGTGGATATTTACAGCAAAGTCCAACTACTTCCTCTCATATACCTCGTCTTAGAGATGGACATCTCGGGCTTCTTTGTCATCCATACCGACTGGCTATGAATGAGCCTAAGTCATTTCCCCTCTCTGAGTCAATTTTCTCATCAGTTACATGGAAATAATAATACCACTCACCTGCCTATCTCAGAGAGTTCTTTTAAGCATCAAGTGAGGTCACTGACATAAGTGCTCCGTAAGTGAAAAGTCAGTCCAAACGGAAGGTCATAGTGTTTTCTCTGTGCATTTTAAATCCCCACTTCTGTAGCAGGAAAGCACCATGCTACCTTAGTTATCCCTACCTAACTCAAATATTGCCCAAGGCCTGCATTCCATACGGCATGGAGGCAGGATGTGAGATGTGAACAAGTCCATCATCACAAATCAATTATCCAGTGTCTCCCCAGGGCCAGCCATCCTCTCTCTGGAGAAGGGTGCACTAAGGGGTATTTATTCTCTAATTATTTTAACAGCTTGGCTGCCCTGCCAGCGCCCTCTCAGAAAACCAGATTGGCGAGAGGAGGTGCGGAATGAATAACGAACCAGCACCTCTGCGATTCTGGCTTCCGTGGAGGGGGTGGAAGGCTGTGCTACAGACACACACCCCTGCGGGATAATTAATTCTAGCTGGGTGCTGCAGCAGGGCGGATGAGAACATGCTTCCGCAACCCATCCAGGATGCATCCCCGACTGGATTCTGGTGCTCAGAGCTTCCAGCCGGCCAGGACTTCCTCGCTGCACGACCTGTGCAGCAGCTCCGACAGGGATTCGCTGGTGTCCCGGTGGAGCACAGAGCCCGGGCCGTCTGATGAGCTCCCACTCTCCAGCTGGAAGCTGCCCACCAGTTCCTGGATCCACTGCAGGTCTGTTGAGAGCTCCTGCCTGAGAGCCTCGAACTGGGCCTGCAGATGGTCCATTTTCCTGGCCATGCCTCCGAGGCTGGCCCCTGAGGCCTGGATGTCTTCTCGCAGGAGCTTCTTCCAGGACTCCACCTTGCGGAGCTCGTACTTGAGCTGGGACAGGTCGTGCCGGGTGCGCTCGTTCTCCTCTCGGTACCAAGCTTCCTTTTCGTTGTAGATGGAGACCAGGGCCTCCACGTCGTCCTGGATGGTGTCGTGGGCCCCCGCCAGGGCACGGCATCCCTGGTCCACCCGAGCCACGTCCTCCACCACACGGGCAAAACGCTCGAAGTTGACATAGGTGTTGTTGCGGGGCATGCTCGAGTGGCACTTGAGGGTGTACTCTCTCAGGTGCTTGGTCTTCAGCGGGGTGGGCTCTGCCTTCCGCTGTTCGGCGGCTCTGCCTTCGCCTTTGGACTGGTGGGTGTTCAGACAGAAGAACCAGAGTGTTAATTTGCCACACGCCCCCAAGTGCAGTCCGAGCTGCAGGCAGAAGGCACACACGTGGCCTCTTTGGCATTCGCTGCATGCGTCAGGCTGTAGGGAGAACCGGGGTGGGACGCGCACCCCACAGACCACAAGAAAGGTCGAGGAGTGGGGGTGCCGCCTGCATGCTCACTGCAGAGGGGTCCACGGCCATTAGAGAGGGCTTCCACACGCACAGCATTTAAGGGGCACTCGTGCAGACAAGCAGGCTACAGCCAGGACTCTGCAGGCGCCCACTCGAGGCTGGAGCACGTGAGGCTGACGTGGGGAGGCTGATGAGTGTCTCTGAGGCCTCGGCAGCACTCAGCACACTGCGCAGGAGCAGCCCAGGAGACTCCAGGGCTCTGCGCTCCGGGCCCGCCCACAATGGAGGGCACTTGGCCTTCGCCATCCTTCGATGAGCAGATGAAGCTGATCTCCCAACCACCCCAGGCCTCCCAGGGCTCCAGCTTGCACAGGTCTCGCCCCTCCTTATCTGCACACTCAGACCATCCTCCCCGGCCTTCTCACTTAACAACTAAGGTGAATGGGACATCTGGTGACATCCTTGGGTGCACACAGCTAGCCAGTCAGCAGAACTAGGGCCAGAACCCTGGTCTCTGGGCCCCTCCCTCCCAAAGTGTGTTTCACTAGACTAGACTTCAAGATCTTCTGAAAAACCAGCAGCTGGAGGCTCAATTGCAAGGTGAGTTAGGCGAGGATTTGCCGTTTTGCCCCGGCCCTCCCCAGAGGGAAGAGAGCTGCCTCAACAGGTGGCTGCCTCTCTTCCCTTCGGAGGCCTGTCCCTGAGGCCTTGTGGTGGCCTGAGGGAGCCCAGCTACTGATCCGAGTGTCATCCTTGAGCCAGAGCCACAAAAGTCAGAAAGAAAGAGTCCTGGTTGCAAAGCCCTGGTTGGGGGTTTTAATTGCCATCGATCTCTCTACAACTGAGGAGTCCTGATTCTTGCTTTGAAAAGTGGTGGTGACACATTCTCCAACAGAGGACAGTTCGTAAGTTGGCCCCAAAGAAAAAGGTTTCAAGTGAGCTTTGAGAGGGTTTCATTGCATAAGTTACCTGGACCTGTGAAATGCAAACTTAAAGTAGCACAAACCCATTTGAATAAGCCCAGGCCCCTTGGGGGCCCTGACTAGCTTTCAGCTGTGCTCAAGGTTAGTGTTTCAAGCAAAGGCCTCTCCACAGGCCCCTTGCATCTGGCTGCCCAGCCAGGCCTGGCGACAGAGCAGAGACCCCTGCCCGCTGCAACTCATGGCCGTGCCCTTACCGTGATCCAGGGGTGTCTGAGAGCCTCTTGGATGGTGAGCCGTTTCCTGCAGTGAGGATTAGAATACAGTGATGATCCACGAGGACAGAAGCTAGGAGCAACAGCCTCCATTCTCACTCTTTTTAGACCTATATTTTGGCAATTTTTGACCACTGCCATCATACCAGTATAACAGAGGATGCAGAGATGGACAGGAATTGGCTGCATGCCCTGCCGCCCAGGGAAGGTGGTCCAGGCACACCCCTCAGTAGAGTGGCCTTACTACCCAAACCCTCACCGTCAGTCCCAAAGCTGAAAGGCCTAACACTGCACTATAATAGAAGAGTCATAAATGCTCTACTGAGCTTCCAGAGTCCTCTGAAAGCCAGCTCTCCATTGCTAAACCTCTGCTGTTTCTGTTTGCCTTCTAGATCCCTCCTCTGCCCTTTGCTGCTCTGTACCCAGGCAGGTGACCCTACTTAGCACTGCCCTGAGACTAAAAGGACACAGTAGTCTAATCTGTGGACCTTTCTACCTGTTCCATGCTCTGGGCACCCAGCACCCACAGTTACCTGCCTGCCTCCTTCGCTGCCCCCACAGCCACAGTGCTCACCCTGGCCCTGAAGAAGGTGACGGATTAGCACATCTCCCATCCTCCCCTGCACTGACTTCTCTGTGCCCATCTCCCCACATCGAATCCCACCCTGAATTGGCTTGAAACCCCTGCTACTTTACCTTTCCAAATCTGAGTCCCAGGTGCCTTTGGGACAGACTGCTCAAGGCAACGGGCTCTAAGGAAACCCAGGCTGACTCCCCACACATCATACACAACACACACACACACACACACACACAGAGTTGTTTACATCTCAGCAGGAGAAAAGAGCAGAAAGACTTTAGCAAACAAGTTGAATGCCAAGTCTCAGCCAGTCCACACTTCCCAGCACCTGCCCTGATTAGATGACAATGGTACGGATGACAGTTGTGGCAAAGCAGGGACAGACTGATGCATCTTTGAGAGAGGTGACAGGAGGGGTCAGTACCTGAGAAACCAGTGGCTTTCTCTGTCCTCTTACCGGGTCTCTTTCACCAGAAGCTTCCTGATGAAGTCCTTGGCCAGCTCGCTAGTCTGGCTGAAGAATTCCTCATCGAAGTCGTAACTCACCGCCGTGATGTTCGCCAGCGTTTCCTGCTTTGTGTCTCCCAGGAAAGGGGACGCTCCACTCAGGCTGAGCACAATAGGGAGGAAACCGCATGACTGTGGGGAAGTAGATGGACTCGGGGATGACTGAGGGAACCCCAACCTGTGCAGTCTGGGGCTGGAAGGCTCCCAGCTGCCCCTGTGGGCAGCCAACCGCCAGCCTTTTCAACTGAGTCCAATTTGATCCACTGTTATGGGGCTCCTACTAAGTGCACAGCAGAGACAAATTGTGCCTTCAAGGGACTCAAAGGTGAGGAGAGAGAAATGCAGAGACGTAATTCTTCACAATCCCTGGCAGAACAAAGCAGAACGTAACAGGAGGCGAGATAAAGGGAGGGGAAACATAAGAAAGAGGGGGTCATGCAGCTCCATGGCAGCGCTGACATTCGGATGGGTTGCATCCTAGAGAAAGGAGAGGTTGTCAGCAGTCAGAGCGGGGAACAGAAAGATCTTCCAGGCCACGGGAGCAACTTGAGCAAAGCCCAGGAGGTATGGAAACACATGAGCCACTGGGGACTAGAAGATTCTGTGGGGCTCCCTCCCAGGGTTTGTCAAGGATGTGCCCATCAGATAGTGACTCCCGAACCTGCCCTCTCCTGACTCGTATTCCAGTTGTTCTGGGACCCAGACGTGCTGCTGTCCCAGAACTCACTGCGCCTGGACCCCACTCCATGCACCCCCTACTTCACAGGAGTCACCTCGGACTCTTCCTTCTGTTCCCTTGCCACATCTAACTGGCCAGAAGTCTCACAGGTTACATTTACTAGATATCTCTTGCAAGTCACTCCCATCTCCACTGCCACTTTCTTAGCATGGTGGCAGCTGGGTGCACTGGAAAAACCATGAGATTTCAGTCCTGGGTTTGAATCCCAGCTCAACCACTCATTAGCTGGGTATAACTCTACCTCTCTGAGCTGCAATTTCCTCCTCTTCATCAAAATAAAGAAAAGTCCCCACCTCACATGATTATTGGGAAGAATAAATGCATACAAAATGCTTTGTGCATTCTTGGCCCATACTAAGGGCTCTGGAGTTAATGGCCATTATTATTGTCAATGTTAGAGCACAAAGAACCTTCTATGACTCTCCATTTTCTCTGTAGATCACGTCTAAACTCCCGAGCATAGCATCAGAAGTTGGTCCCTACCTCGTGCTCAGTACATTTCAGCCACACTTAACACGCTCCCCATTCCTTTCCTTGTGCTGTTTCCTCGGCCAGCACAGCCCTTCCCTCCTTCTCCACCTGGGGAATTAACTTCATTCCTGTCTGTCCCTTCCACTGTGCAGCCAGGGCTGACACCCTCTGCCACAGCTCAGGGGAACCCACCACGCCATCCAGAGCTCCCAAGCCAAGTGCTGCTGGCATAGTTGGAGAACTGGTTACAGGGGTTGCTCAGAGGACGATCTGGTGTCCCTGCCTGCTCTGGGCTGACTCTCCATCCCCGTGTCCTGAAAACATGGCACTTCCCATGTGTGCCACAAGGGGAACATGGTTGGGAAGCACTGATGGAACAAACACCCACTGTGCACGTGCCAGAGTTGGGGTAGGAAATTTGCACATGTTGGCTTATCTAGCCCTCACAGCGTGCCCTTGGTGGGAAGTTTGTGATTCCTATTTTTCTGATGAGAAAAACAGGCCCAGAGTTTAAGTACCTGCTCAAGGCCACAAGGATGGAGAGTGACAGTATCATCAGATTCCAGCCCCAGACGTAACCCACTACACAATGGAGCTCTGCAGGAAATTGCTTAGGCAACTGGGTACTTCAAGGACAGGAAAGGAGGAAAGAAAGGAGGAGAGAAAATGTGCAAGGAAGAAAAAGGGATCTGGGGAAAGGAAGGGAGAAGGGAAGAGAAAGAAGAGGCAAGATTGCGGAGGGCATAGGAAGCTTCGGGGCAATCCTGAGGCTGTCATGGTAACCCTCAGTCTGGGGGAGGCGCAGCAGGGAGCCCTGGCGATCCATGGTAGGGATGCAGACCCAGGCCTTGCAGGATGGAAGGCCGGAGCTGCTCTCCTGGGTTCCTGCTCAGCTTCAACCCTGGGGTCAAATGTGGAGCTAACCCCACTTAGCCTCAGGTTTGCTGCGTGGACTTAACACACCTGGCTTAGGGTGGGTGCTCTGTAAATGTCAGTCTGTCTGTCTGTCCCTGTCTCATCCCTCCCAGTTGCCCCAATCTAAGCTGGGTGGGTGCCCCGGGATCAGGGATACTCACAGAATATAGGTGATGACGCCTATGCTCCTGCAAAACAGAGAACAGTCACGTCAGGCCACTGGGCTCCGATGCCAGGCAGCCAGGGACCCCCACGTGGATCTCAGGGGAGGAGATCACCAGCTTCCTCCCTGGTAGCCCCTGGATGCAGCCTTAAGCTCCACACCCCTCTGCCCAGCCTGGGATGTGTTTGAAGTCACTAAGGTCAGGACACTGAGTCCAAGGACCTGGGTTCAAGATCAGACTCCTGCACTTGCGGGCTCTATGATTTAGGCAAGTCCCTCGTCACCTATGTATTTCTTTCTCCTTATAAAATGAAGATAATGATGACTATCTCACAGGACAGTTGGCAGGATTTTAGAAAGCCAGGTAATGAAGGTGGTTCATTTATTAATGAATGAACTGTAAAGCAGTGCTCAAATGAAATGAGCCATGTGCGTGCAGAGAATCGATCACTGCCCAACACAGTGCCCAGAACACTGAAGGCTCTCTGTGACCACTTGGTTGACTAGCCAACTGGGCTACCATCACTACCATCTTTATCCTGGCTGCTTGAGAATTTTGTGGTGTAAACCAGCCAGGTTCAGGCCCGGGGCTGAGCCTGCACCTCCACCTCTCCTCTCCCCTAGTTCCTCCACTGCTGGCAACGCTGTGACCCAGCCAGATTCTAACCAGGCTCAGGTCCAGGCCCGGTGGCCTCCAGCTACCCGGGCTGCAGGTCCAGCACACTTGGACCAGCCAGAGGCTCTGAAAAGTGAGTGTGGAGACAAGGGTTTCACAGTCAAGGGGACGTCACCCCAAGTGAGGTCTGAGAACTTCTGCCCTTGGAAGGACCCCTCAACCACCTGGGTGGCTTGTGCCACTTACCACATGTCGGCCTCCAGACCCAGGGGCTCATAGTTCACAATTTCTGGAGCTGAAAAGAAGTCATATTAAAGAGTCAACAGGAGCATGAAAAAAAGAGGAGATGATTATAGGGAATTTAGCACCAAATGTCTCTATCCTGAATCCCCAGTAAGGAAAATCAGAGCAGCAGATGGGGATAATCTGCATCTAAGAATTTTGAGGAATGGAGTTGCTATGTGGCCCAGATGTTTTTGTTTCCTCAAAATTCATATGTTGAAACCTAATTGCCCATGAAACAGTATTAGAGATGGGGCCTTTAGGAGGTGACAGGTCATCAGAGTGGAATCCTCATGAATAAACTAATGTGCTTACACAGGAGGCCTGAGGGAGCTTCTTTGCCCCTCCTGCCACAGGACATGCCACGTGTGAAACAGAGAGTGAGCCCTCACCAGACTCCAAATCTCCTGGCACCTTGATCTTGGACTTCCCAGTCGCCAGAACTGTGAGCGATACATTTATTGTTTATAAATAACCCGGTCTAAGGTATTCTATTATAGCAGCCTGAAAGGACTAAGACAGGAGTTGCCTATTTTCCTGGCAGAAACCTTTACAGACAGGCCTTGACAGTGAGAAAGAGGGAGAGCACATGAAACACCTATAAAAAGGAAGAGGCAGGCGGGGAGAGGAAGGTACAGGAAGGATAAACGGGGCCCTAGAGAACAGGCCTGCTTTCTGTGGTAAAAGCCAGTCAGGGCAGCCCTGGAAGGTGATGGAGAAGAAACGATGGCAGAGAAGGAATCCATCTTCCTCTGAGTCTGGTCTGAAAGAGGGCACCTCCCACCCAACGGGCAGGAGGACATTTTCAGGAGCTGCTGAGATGATGAGCTCGAGGTGCCTGAGGGGCGCCAGGGGAAGATGTCCAGGGACAGGCTACAGGGGAATGGGCCAGAGCCAACAAATTTGTCGTCATCAATGTACAGGTGGAAACAGGAGCTGAGCCAATGATGCGGTGACCATGAGAGGGTGCGGGGTCTAGGAGAGAAGCCTCTACCAAGGAGAGGACAGAAGAGGACCAGACGCTCCCAGAGATCAAGCAGATGAGCACGGGAAAGCAAGCACTGAATTCACGCTCACTGCAGCACCCAGAGTGTCCAGAAGGTGGAAAGTGGAGTACAGAGTGTAGATGACCCTTTTAAAAATCTTGTCTGTGAAATGGAAGTGAAAGAGAGGGCAGTAGCTTGAGAAGCAGGAAGGACTGAACCTGTTCAACTGCTAACGGAAAAGGTAGAAAGTGGGAAAAGCTAAGTTTGCTTATCTAGAACAATAGCAGAGCCACTGCACCCACAGGGGCTCTCTCCCATCCCTCCTGCCTCCTCACACTTCAAGACACAGGGGACCACTGTCCTGGAGTCGCTTACTTTTCAGCTTTATAAAAGTGGCATCATACTGCATGTGATCTATAGTCACTAGAATCACTCGATGTTTTTCACTCAACATTATGCTCCTAGCATTTACTGAGTGTTCATCTATGTATGCTCTTTCATTTTCACTGCTCTAGACCAGTTCATTGTGTGAATATAAATCACTTTTTAGTCATTCTCCTCTCAGAGATCATTTGGATGGTTTCCATTTCTTTCGTTATTGGAACAAAATTGCTATGAACTTTTTTGTATGTGCCTCCTGATGTGCATGTGAAAAACTTTCTTTAGGACGGTGACATTCAAAGTGTGGTCCACAGGCACACACTCTGCAGACTGTCCCTGGTCCAACAAGACAGGTGCAGAAATTGGGAGTATGCATTTAGAGACTCCTACAGCAATTTGACATTGCTGTGACAGCCAAACTCTGATCATCTTTCTAGGAATTTATTTTCATTGTATTTTACTAAAATAGCACTCCAGGACAGATTGAAAATTTCAAAAAAAAGAAAAAAAACATAGTTTGAGAAGCACAACTCACTTTCCAGTGTTAATCTGCTTGAGATATCTATATTTATATCTATATATAATGTCATCTATGTGCTTTTGTCTATTATCTATTTTTGTTTTTGTATGTGTGTGCTTTCCTTCTCCTTTCTTGCCTTTTTTTTTTAATGGAGATTTTGGGTTAGTTTTCTTATTGCTTTTTCCTCAACTTCTTTTTTTAAAATGGCTACTCTTGAGACTTGACTACAGATATCTAACAAATTCTAACATAAAGCAGCATTTTGACCCTTCTCAAATAATCCAAAAAGCTTAGAACACTAATTTCAAACACTCTCTGTTCTAGTTAACATTATTTTCTTCAGTTTTTAGTTCTGTCCGTTAACCCCACAATTAAATCTTTATCATCATCATCATCATGATTTTAGACAGAAAATGTTTATATTTACTTAATGTTTACTGATTTCTTTGCTCCTATTACTCCTTGCTCTGAGATCTCCCTTCAGAGTTCATTTCCTAAATTCAGAAGTCCATCTTTTATGTTTTGGGAGACTGAGGCAGGAGAATGGCTTAATGCCAGGGATTTGAGACTAGCCTGAGCCAGAGCAAAATCCTGTCTCTACAGAAAATAGAATAATTAACCAGGCATGGTGGCATGCACCTGTAATCTCAGCTACTTGGGAGGCTGAGACAAGAGGATCACTTGAGCCCAAGAGGTTGAGGTTGCAGTGAGCTATGATGATGCCACTGCACTCTAGCCAGGGTGACAGAGTTCAAGATCCTGCCTCAAAAGCAAAACAAAACAAAACAAGACAGAGAGAAAGAAGTTCTATTAATGAAGGTCGATTGGTAATAACTCTATTTTAATGTTTTGGCGGTTTATTATTGTTCTTTTTGTATTTCCTGAATCTTTCCCCTTTATTCTTAAAATATAATTTTTCTGGGCATACAACTATGGGTTTTTTATTTTTCCTCAGCTCTTTAAGATAATATTCCATCGTCTACTGGCTTCCATTGTTGTTTTGAGAAGTATACTGTCAATCTATTGTTCTTTTGTAGGTGATCTGTCTTTTCTCTCTGGCTGCTTTGTCTTTGGTACCCTAGCTTCACTGTAATGTGTCTAGGTGTGCATTTGTTTTTTTCCTGCATGGTATACATTGTGCTTCTGTATCTGTGCATGGATGCAGTTCTGAAAATTCTCAGTCATTCCCCTCAAATGTTGCTTCTCCTTTATTGTCTCTATTTCCTCCTTTTAGGATTCCAAAGAGACCTATGTTAGGCTTTTTTTTATACCCTCTTTTACTTATTCTTTCTTTCATATTGCCATGTCTTTGTCACTCTATGGTACTCCAGCTAATTTTTTTCAGCTCAGTCATTCAAGTCTTCAATTCTCTCCTTAGCTGTGTGCAATCTGCTGTTTAACCCATGCATTGAGGGTTGTGTTTTGTTTTTGTTTTTTTGAGACAGAATCTTGCTCTCTTGCACTGGCTAGAGTACAGTGCTATCATCATAGCTCACTGCAACCTCAAACTCCTGGATGCAAAACATCCTCCTGCCTCAGCCTCCTGAGTAGACGGGATTAAAGGTGCAGGCCACACACTCAGCTAATTTTTTCTATTTTTTGTAGAGATGAGATCTTGCTCTTGTTTAGACTGGTTTCAAACTCCTGATCTTAAGCCTGGTTTCATCTTCCTGCCACTGCCTCTCAGAGTACTAGGATTATAGTCATGAGCTACCTCACTCAGCCTCATCGAGTTTTAAATTTTAAAAATTATATATTGAATTTCTTTTGAATTTTTAAAAATTATATCTATCTGGTTCTTTTAAAAATTTTCCTGGTCATTTTTGACATCTCTTCTTGTTTGCTCATTCTTGTGATTCTGCCTTTTGTTTCTATATACATTCCACTTATTTTATAGTCAAAATCTGACCATTTCGATGTCTTATATCCTTGAACATCTAAATATTGCTAGACTCTGATTGAGATGCTGATGTGTACAACTGCCTCTAGGAGGTACTCCTATTTTTTTGTTTATTTGTTTGTTTTGCTGCTCACAGCTCCAGCTCTAAGTTCAATTCACTAGCTTTTGGGGGTGTAACAGGTGGTGCTGAAAGAGTTATTATCTTTAAAGATTTCTCATTTCCTATTAGCCCAGAATTTCATTGAAAAGAAATTTTTTTTCTCAAGAATCCAGATTTGTAGTAGGAGAGCCTTTTGTCCACCACACTACTGAAAGCTGACACTAACTTTTTAACCTGGCTCTCAGGTTGAAATTTCAAAGGAATGGTGGAAACAGGGGAAAGTTGTAATCTGTTGCTTAAGGGATCTTGGGAAAGAAAGTCATCATAATTTAGGTAGAGGCTTAGAGGAGTTGCCCTATATATCTGTAAGATACAAACAAAACCATTGCAAACAAAATCATACTGGTTAATAAGAGGCAATGATGTACATCTCTTCCCAACTCTGTATTCAATGACAACATTGGTATCTTGAAACTGGCCAATACTATAAATTAAGGATTCTTTTTTTGAGACCTGATTGTTAGACATTTATCAGCATACCACTGGGAAAACCCTCCACAGTCTGGCCCCACTCATCAATACTACTCATACCAAAAGTCTGGCGTGAACTCTTGGCTCCATTCAGAGTAGACAGTGACTTGCCCCTGATAAATGCACTCATTCTGGTCTTACTCTTCTGCTTTGGTATCACAGAACCTGGGATGTGTTCCTCCTCTACCCTCGCTCACTTCCCACCCTGCTCCAGAGACTTCTCCCACTCCCAACAGCAGCCCTTTGCACCTCACTGACTCAAGGTCATGACTGATCCCATTGACTTTGCCAGTGTGGATATCTCATCTGAACAGTCTTTTAGAACTGTCTTATATGACTTGCTTTATAATTAATCACATCCTGTCTTGTGACATCCCTTCTATTATTGCTCTGAATTTCTAGTTGAACTATTGTTATTTAACAGTTGGTATAAACTTAACTAATAAACATCCATTTTTACCACACATGTGAATGGTAGGCAACTGTCTCAAACTTCTGATGTCTGTGCCCCAGGTTTAAGTTGCCTCTGCCACCAACTTGTGACCTTCAGCGTGTCATTCTGAATGTGGCTCACTCAGTGCACCATGCAGTAGATGAAGAATGACCTTGGTTGACCTTAACTAAAATCCCCCAGCCTTCCATTTCCACATTAGTTAAACTAGGCCAGATGATCTGAAAAGCCAGCGCTCTCATTCGGTGGTTTGATGTCTTGTTTTCACAACTAAACTGTAAGTTCCTTGAGGGTCTTCTTAGAGAGACAACCAGGTATAACAAGGAGCATAGGCTTTGATGTTGGCCGTATCTGTATTTGAATCTCAGCTCCACCACCTACTGGTTGTGTTGCACTTGAACAAGGTACTTAACGGAGAAAATGATTAAATCTGGTTCATGAAGCCATCTAAGGATTACCTGAGACAATGTCAGTAGTGTGCAAGACATAGTGCCTGGCACACAGCAAGGGCTCCCTGCCCTGAGGTCTGTGAGGTCTCTCTTAGCAACATTCCACAGTGACTGCTGAGCTAATATGTGGCTTGGAAATCCATCAGGATGGATGGTCTAACACATTCTGGTTTCTTTTTGATTATACTGTGGTCAGACGTTTTAGTCCCCAGATTTTAAGGAGACCACACCCTCCTCCCATCTCTAAGACCACTCCAACTCCCAAATAGATGGTGGTTCTATTTATTCGTTTGTTTCCCCTCTGCAGGGGTATTTCTTCCTGACTCTCAACCTCCAGCCCAAGCCATAAAATGGGGCCTCCAGGGTGCAGGACAGGCAGGGGCCTGGGCCAATTGTGAGAGACACAGAGGGAAGAGAAAGGCAGCCAGGGCTCCAAGGGAGCTGGGCACCCCCACGCATGAAGAAAGGCCAGGCTCACAAGAGAGGTGGATGGGTACATCTGGCAGATGGCTTCCTTTTTCCTTTTCAGGAAATCAAGCTATTTTAGAGAAGGTTGAGTTTATGGGAACACAAGAGGGTGACGCAGTTTTAAATCCTCACAATAAACTCCTCTAAGAGGAGGTGGTGGGGCCAGCTCTGGGAGGATTTAACTCTGCAAAGGCTTCTAGCCCTAACTGTACACCCCCACTCTGAGCCCCACTGGGTGCTCAAAGCCTGCACCTGCACCCTCATGCAGGGGCCCAGCAAGACATTTCCTTCCCCACCGATTAGGTTTCTAGCGGATGTCCCCAGGCATCAACTCTCAGCCCAGAGGCCATAGCCACAGACACAGGTTTGCTATTTCTCTACCTTTGGTGCCAGATTCTTGGCCTGAAACTCACCAACAAATTCTGGTGTCCCAAAAATGCTCTTAAATTCAACTCCATCTTCTATTTCATGAGCCAGGCCAAAGTCAATCAGCTTGATGTGTGGAATGGGAATATTCTTGTCTAACAACATAATGTTTTCTGGCTGGAGAACAAAAAAAAAAAAAGGAAGGAAGAAATAAAAAAAGGTGGTCATTAAAGCCCTGTTTTGTGTTTTTCCTTTGGGGTTTGGGGTAGGGTTTGGGTTTTCTTTTTTAGCAGACAAAAACAGCATAAACTCCTTGTTTTTGTGTCCTCAGTCTTCCCCTGTGAACTCAAAAACAGGCACAGAGCTGAGGGCAAGGCCTGGGTTTTATCAAACCTTTTGCTAACAGCAGAACTGAAGATTTCGGCTTTAATCTCCCTTCTGTCTCTGAGTGGCAGGTCCCTTTAATGCAGCGCTTCTGTTTCCTGATCTGTCAAATGAGATACTTGCAGCATTTCCTGTAAACAAAACCGCCACCTCTGTGTGAGTGTGACAGGGTCGGGGCATCAGCTCAGCCTCGCCTTACTCGGGCTCACTGACCTTGGTCTTCCTGACCACCCCTTTCCCCCAGCCGGCCAGCTTCCTGTTGACAACACTCCCCTCCTCTAGAATGACTGCATGGCTCACATTTCTCTGTGTGTTTAACTAATTTTGGCCCTCAGCAGGACACAGGGGAAAAAAAATGCACCCAATTTCCAGGGAAAATACCAGCTGCTCAGGCTATTTCCAGCCCAGCAAACAGCTGCCAGGTCTGACACAACAATGCAGTTGGTGGTGGTGCAGGGACAGCCCCTTACACATCCCAGGAGCCTGGTCCTCACACACCTAGACTCCCAGTGAGGACAGAGCAGGAACCCAGCTGTCCCTTCTCACTCCCACCCAACCACTCAGACGATGAAGTGGGTGAGCAGGTCCCTCTGCTTCACCCTCTTTCTCCTACTCCTCACAATTGTCCTAGACTCCATGCACAACGGAATGTCCTGAAAACACATCCACGCTAAAATGTGTACACATATGTTCACAGCTGCATATTCACAATAGCCCTAGAGTGAAAACACCCCAGATGTCCATCAGCTGATGAATGGATAAACCAAATGTGTATGTGTATGTGAATACTATTCAGCCATAAAAAGGAATGAAGTAAAAACAAAAACAAAAACAAAAAGGAATGAAGTACTGATACCAACTACAGCATGGATGAATCTTGAAAAAATTATGCCAAGTGAAAGAACCAGTCACAAAAGATTACATGTATGATTCCATTTATATGAAATATCCAGAATAGGCAAATCCATAGAAACAGAAAGTAGATTAGCAGTTGCCTAGGACTGGGGGGAGTGACTGCTAACGAGTACATGGCTGATTTTTGGGGTGATGAAAATGTTCTAAAGTTGATTCTAAAATTATCCTATAAATGACTATGGTGCTGGTTATATAACTTTGTGCATTGCATACATTAAGTGAGTGAATTGCATGGTATGTGAATTATATCTCAGTATAGCTGTTAAGTAAATAAATGTTTAAGAAAATTAAATATCTCTGTTTCTCAAAGCACCGAAGGATTTGCCACTTTGCACTTTTGCCCACACCATCTGCTCTGGGGCTACCTGGAAGGCCTTCTTCTGTTCAGTCTCTGCCCATCGAAATGCTAGCTGGGCTCCAAAGTCTGGCTCAACCCACCTCATCCTTGAAGACTTTCCTAAGAAGCCCCAAACCCCTTCCTACCACCACCAGGAGTGAGCCCTCCCTCCCTCGGGTCCCTTCAGGCTTATTTGAACATTTCTGTTACGACATTTAACATGTTTTCCCTGGTCCAATAGTCCTTCGCTGTCTTTGTCCTAGCCCCCTACCAGAGCCGTCCTCAGCTGGAGGGAGGACTCAGATCTCTGCATCTTTGCCCCTGCAGGACAGAGCAGGGCGCTGGCTCCTGGCTGTCAACTGAGCTGATGCTGCATCTGCACTGAAGCCTCACCCCAGGTGCCCTGGCTCCCTGAAGTCTCTGTGACCTCCCAGCTGGAAACTTTCACTCAAGGGCGCTGGCTGAGGCCCTCCCTTGCTTTTTTTTTTTTTTCCCCTCCTTAAAAAAATACACACACACACACACACAACACATTTCCTGTTGCATTTTTTAAGCTTGTTTATTCTTCTTCCCCTCTGGAGATTGCTCTCAACATTATTTTGAAAATGTGTCAAAAGTCTTTTCCGAAGGCAGAGCAGATGCTTAGGCTCTGCAGAAAGGAGTGAGGGTGGGGAGGTGAGTACACAGGATCCAGGCAGGTGGCCCTACTCCAATGCTTCCAGCCCAGCTCGCTGGTGGCTGCGCATGGACCCCAAGAGTCCTAGCACCCCATGCAGTGAGCTGCACCCTCCCTACTGCCCCCCCAGGCAGGCAGCTGCTCCCTCCACTCTTAGGAACATCTCCTGTTAGGGGAAAGGCCCTGAGACCCCTCCCTAGGGCTAAGGGACAAGGGCCCAGGCCCTGTTGACCACCATAGCTCAGGGCCCAGGATGCCACCATACAACACACTCATGGGGGAACCACAGTGGGCAGAGGTGGACACACCAGACCTGGTGATCCCCAGGACTACGGGGAAGCAGGGCTGAGGCGGGGAGGAGAACTGAGGCTGAGATTTCCAAGGCAATGCTGCCTCGGGGAGGTGAGGAGGCTCCCAGCCCCACATCCACTCACCTCTGTGGCCCACGGCCCAGGGGAAAGAGCTCTCCACTGGCTAATGAGAATCTTAGGGCAAGGCCACGTTTTTTTCACATGAGTCTCATCTGTCCTCAGTCCCACCCTAAACCTAACACAGAGCAGGTGATATCTCTGCTTGGAACACTCTCCCTGCACTATCCCCATCCAAAACCTGGCTAATTCCTCTTCACATTTCAGTAAAAATAGCACCTCCTCCAGGAGGCCTTCCCTGCTCCCCCCATGCCATGCCCACCACCTCCTCGGTTCCCAAAATACCCTGTACTTTCCTACTACAGTGCTGCTTAAGCAAGCTGATCTGCTTACTTATCTGTCACCCTCCACTAGGCTGCAAGCTTTGCAAGGGTTTTGTTCCTCTCATCTCCCTAGAGCTTGGGATACAGCCCAGCATCCACTAAGTGCTCAATTAACGTTCCATGAGTGCAGACAGGTGCCATTTATTAAGCCCCTGCAATATATAGGACCTAAAGCTAACTAAGCACGTGACATACTTTATGCGTCACTGAACTCTCTCAACTACGGTGCGGTGGGTGTTATCATTCCTCTTTTGCAGGAAAAGAAACCAAGACTTGGCCGGGCGCAGTGACTCACTCCTGTAATCCTAGCACTCTGGGAGGCCGAGATGGGAAGATTGCTTGAGCTCAGGAGTTCGAGACCAGCCTGAGAAAGAGCGAGATCCCGTCTCTACTAAAAATAGAAAGGAATGAGCCAAACAAGTAAAAATAGAAAAAATTAGCCAGGCATGGTGGTACATGCCTATTATCCCACCTACTCGGGAGGCTGAGGCAGGAGGACCACTTGAGCCCTGGAGTTTGAGGTTGTTGTGAGCTAGGCTGACGCCACCGCACTCTAGCCTGGGCAACAAAGTGAGACTTGGTCAAAAAAAAAAAAAAAAAAAGAAACCAAGACTGTAATACCAGCTCGTAGACACGGAGATTTTTAACCTAACCTGTCAGACCCCAAAGCTTATGCTCCTAACCACTAAGTGATCCCCCTTCCTTGCTTCTCAAGGCTCTTATCAAGCTGTCTGAAGGAGAAGCAGGAATGCTCCTTGGGGCTGGCAACCTGGGGCAACCTCGTGGCTGGCTCTGGCACTTGCTTCCCACCCCCAGGATGCCTTTTCTTCTGGTCAGGTGAGTAGCCCCTGACCCCACTCCTGGCCTGGCCCTCAAAGCCTCAGGGGCTCCTGAGCTGGATGTCATTTCAGATGAGAAAACAGAGGTCCTGGCCAGGTACCCAAGCTGGGTCTGGATAAAGGGAAGTGGCCTGGGGGTTTCAGGCTGGGAGGGGGCTATGGGATCGCAGGATTGTTCAGGATTGATCAGGACCTGGGTTCTTGCCTCCATCTCATACTCACTGTGAGGGCCATTGGGACCAGACACACCCTGACTGGGAGTGAGCAGGCCATGGGCTCCCTGCCACTGCACGATGTTTCTGCTTCCTTCCGCAGCCACCCAGGTGATTCCAAGGCTGTCCCAGGGATTTGGACCCCCATATCTGCAGCTCCTTCTTGCTGTCCCAACCTCCACTAATAGCCTGATGATACTCTGGAGGCAGGGCAGAGACTTACAGCATGTCTACCAAGTGCTGTAGCATGTTTACACTAGTGCTCTACGTGATCCTTACAGCCAGCCTGAGTGGTAGGTACCATTATGAACCCTATTTGCAGATGAGAAAACTGAGGCTCAGAGAACTAAGTGATTTGCCCAAGGTACAACAGCTCATAATGTCAAAGGTAGAGGCCAGCAGGGGCTTCCCCAGCACTTGTTACTTTCTCCCCACCACATCACCCAATCTGGTTAAGTATCTTCCATGGTCCCACTGACCAGCAGAGAAAGCCCAAATGCCCTGCCTCATATTTGAGGCATCCGAGGCACCAGCTGCCTCTGCCCCGTGTCCAGCCTCAGCACCCGTCACTTGCCTGTACCTGCCCTCTCTCCGCTCAGGGTGGGTATTTCCATCCCAGAATGACATCTCAATTCCATCCTTTGCTCTGGCTGTTCCTCTGGCCATGGATGCCTTTGCTGCTCCTCTCAGGCTTGCAGAGCCTATTCCCCCACTACCTCTGCCTCCTTTCACTCCTTTACTTTTCAATGAAGCTTCTCCTGACCTTGTGCTCTAATCTCAGCACAGATGGTGCTTGCCGGCATCCTAAGCTGTAGGCTGTCTCTCATACCTGATGCCACTTTCCTAGGTGGTGGCCCTTTCCCTGGGAAAATTAAAATTGGTTTTAGGGTTCCTGGCATCCCCTATGGTAAGTAGCATGCTGCACCTTTCGTTAATATTTGCTGAAGAGAACTAAAAGAATCCGGGGCCACAGACCCTCCACCACCACTAGGGGCGCCAGAGCACACTCCTCCCACAGGGCTGTGATGGGGCTGGGTCAGGAGGGTCCACAAAGTTGCTGAGG